CTGGACCGGTACCGGCCTTGTGGCCGTTCGGCCTGGGCCTGCCTGAACCGCCGTGGTCCAGGCCCGTTTTAGCCTCATCTGAACCGGTGTCCCCTGGGCTAACCCTGCCTGTCTTGGAACCGGGCCCTAACTGGGGCCCGAGTGGCTCAGTATGCCACAGCCGCCCTCACCACTTCTGTTGTCAAGAGCCGATCCTTTTCCTTCATATCCACATTCATTAATGCTCCCACCAATTACACCTCTGTAGATCCACCAGGATGGCCACCCAGAGGTTCTCCATGACCCTGCCTCTCACGACCGGCATAGTCCCCTCCCTCCCTTGGCAGATTCTTTCGTTCCTGAGCGTCCTGATTGCCCAGAGCACCGCCGCCCTCACCACTTTTATTGCGAAGAGTTGGTCCTTTTCCTTCCTATCCACAAACATTAATGCTCCCACCGATTACACCTCTGTAGATCCACCAGGATGGCCACCCAAAGGTTCTCCACGACCCTCGGTCTCACGACCGGCATAGTCGCCTCCTTCCGTTGGCAGATTCTTTCGTTCCTGAGCGTCCAGATTGCCCCGAGCACCGCCGCCCTCACCACTTCCGTTGTGAAGAGTCGGTCCTTTTCCTTCCTATCCACATTCATTAATGCTCCCACCGATTACCCCTTCGTAGAACGATCCGAATGGCCACCCGGAGGTTCTCCACGACCCTAGCTCTCACGACCGGCATAGTCACCTCCTTCCCTTGCCGTATTCTTTCGTTCCTGAGCGTCCAGATTGCCTATAGCACCGCCTCCCTCACCACTTCCGCCGCAAAGACGCGGTCCTTTTCCTTGCTATCCACAATCATTCATGCTCCCACTGATTACACCTCTGTAGATCCACCAGTATTGCCACCCAAAGGTTCTCCCTGACCCTGGGTCTCACGACCGGCATAGTCGCCTCCTTCCCTTGGCGGAGTATTTCGTTGTTGAGTGTCCAGATTGCCCAGAGCACCGCCACCCTCACCACTTCAGCTGCGAAGAGTCGGTACTTTCCCTTCGTATCCACATTCATTCATGCTCCCACCGATTACGCCTCTGTACATCCACCGGGATGGCCACTTATAGGTTCTCCATGACCCTATCTCTCACGATCGGCATAATCGCCTCCTTCCCTTGGCATATCCTTTCGTTCTTGAGCGTCCAGATTTCCCAGAGCACCACCGCCCTCACCACTTCTGTTGTGAAGCGTCGGTCCTTTTCCTTCCTATCCAGAGTCATTCATGCTCCCACCGATTACACCTCTGTAGATCCACCAGGATGTCCACCCAGAGGTTCTCCACGACCCTGGCTCTCAAGACCGGCATAGTCGCCTCCTTCCCTTGGCGGATTCTTTCTTTCCTGAGCGTCCAGATTGCCCAAAGCACCGCCACCCTCACCACTTCCGCTGCAAAGAGTCGGTCCTTTTCCTTCCTATCCACAGTGATTAATGCTCCTACCGATTACACCTCTGTAGATCCCCTGGATGGCCACCCAGAGGTTCTCCACGACCCTGGCTCACACGACCAGCATAGTCGCCTCCTTCCCTTGGAGGATTCTTTCGTTCCTGAGCATCCAGATTGGCTAGAGCACCGCCGCCCTCAACACTTCTGCTGTCAACAGCCGGTCCTTTTCCTTCCTATCCACATTCATTACTGCTCCCACCGATTACCCCTCAGTAGATCCACCAGGATGGCCACTCAGAGGTTCTTGTCTCTCACGACCGGCATAGTTGCCTCCTTCCCTTGGCGGATTCTTTCGTTCTTGAGCGTCCAGATTTCCCAGAGCACCGCCGCCCTCACCTTTTATGCTGTTTAGATCCATTTCCTTTTCCTTCGTATCCACAGTCATTCATGCTCCCACCGATTACACCTCTGCAGATCCACCAGGATGGCCACCCAAAGGTTCTCCACGACTCTGGCTCTCGCGGCCGACATATTTGCCTTCTTCCCTTAAAGATTCTTTCGTGCTTGAGTGTCCAGATTGCCCAAAGCACCGCCGCCGTCACCGCTTCTGCTGCGAAGAGTCGGCCCTTTTCCTTCCTATCCACAATCATTAATGCTCCCACCGATTACACCTCTGTAGATCCACCAGGATGGCCACCCAGAGGTTCTGCACGACCCTTGCTGGCATAGTCACCTCCTTCCCTTGGCGGATTCTTTCGTTCCTGAGCGTCCAGACTGCCCAGAGCAGCGCCGCCCTCACCACTGCCACTGTGAAGAGCCGGTCCTTTTCCTTTCTCTCCACAGTCACGAAATCTCCCAACAAAATTGCTGCACCGTCCTCCTCTGTCACCACCTAAGGCGAGGGCTCGCTCGTCTCCACCGCCACCATTTCAACTCACTTCATTTAGTAAAAAGTTCAAAAAAGTTACAAAAAGAATCAAAACACACAAAAACTTTCAAAATTTCAACCGACTGATTCTTTTTCTTTTCTTTCAGCTTCCTAAATCTCGCTGGAAAAAAAAAAAGGTTCCCCATATGAGCTTCTCAATAGATTGTCCTACCCAGAAGTACATTTCCGTAACTTAAAGCCTCAGCCTACCGAATGAAAAAGGGTGGGTGTGCTAGCCTCCAGGCAAAAAGATGGGCTTTCGTGTCCCACAAGTTCATTTCTCGTTGGCGCATGCAAGGAGCACCGACGTTGAAGCCAGATATCTACCCTTCTTACGACAGCAGATGGAGGCAAACAAGAGAAAAGAGGCTGGAGCAGAAAGACATAGGCTTCTTGACCAAGCCTATGATCGACGAGGCCACACTGCAAGATGATAAGCAAAGGCTCCAAACAATGGAGGAACTCCACCAAATTGGATGTATAGCAGAGTCTGCATACTTGGAGAACTTAGGAGCCAGGGCAGAGGCACAGAAGGAGGGGTCAGCTAATGATCCCGCGCAAAAGTCGACCTCGGATCGAACCAAGGTCTCAGACGAAGAAGCTTCCAGTGAGATGGAGAAAAGCATGGAATGCAGGGACAATGGGAGCAGAACAGGAGGGGGGAACCTGTCACTCAAATGAAAGGCCCCTGCCCAAAAAGAACAGAGCAAGAGGGAGACCAGCAGGGAGGCACGAGAGCTGTGCCGGCAGAAAACTGTGAGGGAGAGAGTGCCCAAATGGGGCATCAGTCCCAGCAGGGGGAATCTTCACCGGCAGGAACCGCGACTTCGAAACAACAAGCGACGGCTATGGAAATATCAGGACAGAATGTCAGCCAACAAGGGGGAGTGTCGGACAGCCAGGAGAGAAGAGCAGGAGGAGGAGAAGGAGGAGGTCAGGAAGGGGCAGAGGAGATGATGGAGGGTGTGGAGATGGACCCAAACTCAACTTTCTCCGGGAGGCGTGAAGGCACAGCACCAGTGGAACTAGTGGAAAGTTCGGAGGAAGAGAAATGGGAAGAGGAAGAGGAAGAGGACAACGGGTATGGGTATGAGGACGAAGAACCAGGCACATTGGAGAACTAGATTCGGGCGGTACACGATCTCAAATGGGAAAGACACGTGGAGTGCGAAGTGCGGCTGGCTCACCACAAGTACCTGCAGAACCTCGAACATGCCACAGCACCTTCGGAGGATATCACGTCGACAAACAGGTTCGATATCTTAAGAAAGGAGCAAGACATCAACGAATTTTATGCCTCGCAGTATGGCTGGAAGGCGCAGCATCACAACAACGACGTGCAGATCCCGAATACATGCTACTCCAAACAGTTCAAGTGGCCTAGAACGTACCAGCCGAACGGACTGAAACGCTCAGAAAGGAAGCCGAAGGCACAACAAGAAGCTTCATCAGAGGGCAAAGAGACCAGCGATCCAAACCAGGAGGATGAGGAGGAAACATCAGGAGAGAATCAGATGAAAGAAGTAAAGAGACAGGCAGCGATCTTAGAAGCGCATATCAAGACCAAAACAGGGAACTGCGAGCGGACACTACCGACCTGCAAAAAAAAGCAAAAGGCCGGCAACAAGAAATAGAAGTGGCAGCGAAAGCTGCACGCCGCAAACAAGCCAGGCCACAGGGTCATACTCCCTGTGAGGTGGCACGAAGAGCACTCAGATTGGGAAGTCGCTATCCACCGCACGCTGGCGCTGATCTCAGCAGACGAAAGTCGCTGCTCAGGGGAGGCTTTGAGGAATCTGGTAGCGGACGAGCTGCCAACACGAGCCTACGTGATCCGAGACCTGAAGACAGAAAGAGAGGAATGGACAGACACAGCAGGCACTACACTGAGGGCAGATTACAATCCCCTACGGACTGCTTGGGGGAGAAGTGGCAGCAGAGTGGGTAGCCAGGAGTGTAGCAATAGTGGTGACGATCAATGCCTTCTCTTGGAAGTCGAACTACCTGGAGAAGAGGATAGCACCGGGAGCAACACGGATTGATTTGGCGTTGGCGGGATCCTGAATTATCACTGCACAAGACATGGGGTACGGCCCCGTATAGATTATATCAATGGGAGACAAAGAAAACGGGAGGCCGGAAAAGAAACAGAGAACGCAGAAACAGTGGAAAAGAACGGGACCAGAACTCACGGTGGCATCGGGGAATATTAATGGACTAGAAACTATATCGGAGAGCCCAGACAAGTGGGGAAACGTGATGAACTACACACAGTGGTATGACACCAATCCGCCGGACTTCCTGTGACTACAGGAGACCCACCTTACCACCTCAACGGAGCACCAGCACATCAAGGAAAGAATCAAGCAATGGTTAAGATGGGTCAAGGAGGATCACTGGGCCCCCGGCCGGCATCTCGCCCACACTCAGCGGGAGTAGTGATCTTACAGAATAAAAGGTCATTAGCGGCGAATAAGATTATAATAGAGGGAGCACAAGCTGACAGGGGAGAGGGTAGGTGGATAAAGCTTAACTTCAGTTTCCAAGGGGAACAGTTCGCACTCTTTTCTATATACTGTCCCGACACACTCCAACCATGGAATCAAATGGTGGAGGAGCTGCAGACCCAAATAGAGCCTAGCAGACACACTATTATAACAGGGAGGGACTGGAACGCTACTCTAACACCGAGCCTGGACAGAATGTCAGGGGGGTACCAGAAACGGAGATGGGGCAGCAGGGGAAGAGGCTCTCCCAATACAGAATATGATGACAGGTGCTTTTGTTTTGTTTTTTTTTTTCCCCTAATGATGGCAGGCTGGGAGTTGAGAGACCCCTACGGACTTCTCCACCAGGAGGAAAGACAGTTCACATATCACAAACGGAACAGAAGTCAACACGTGTCAGCCTTTAGAATTGACTTATTTCCTGATCTATCAAGACCTCATAGGGATGATACCACTCAGCAGACAGAGCGGACTTGCCCTACACAACCAGTCTAGACCATAAACCGATCTTTCTGAGCCTAGCCTCAGATAAGCACATCCAGCGGGGGGAAAAGCTTTCTACAAAGTAAATAACTCCCTGCTGAAAACACACGAAATGAGGCCGCCATACTCCAGGCCTGCCTAGCCCACAACCCAGGGGTTCACTCTTTTACCAATCTACTTGATTCCCTCTCAGGAGCGTCAGCAGTAGCAGCAAGTCAGCTGGCTGCCAAGCGGAACGCAAGGGAAAAAGAACTGGAACAAGCCCTACGCATCGCAGAAAGTAATCTTATCAAGAACCCAGGCACCGAGCTGTGCGAGAGAGTATTGGACACAGCCCGTACAGAATTGGGAGACTGGGAGAGGTGGCGTGCAAAGGGACTACACATGCGAACACGGGTAAGGGAATGCGAAGAATGAGAAAGGATGACAAAATACTTCTTTCAAAAGATTAAGAGCAGGGGGGGGAGTGCAGCAATTGAGCAGTTGGATGGCCCAGAAGGACCGACAGGCACAGCAGAAGGAATGGTGGGGGTGGCGTACGACTTCCATAGCAAGCTATATACCGGGTTTCGGGTACGTGGCCCAGCACCCCTGCATGATTAAACTGAAAAAACAAGAACCCCCCCCCCCCCC